TAAAATAAATAAATTCAAATATCTCTTTAAGTGTATGCCCCCTATCCATTGTTCTGATCCAGCAAAAAAACAACGGTTGAGTCATCTTTGCAGCTTTGTCTCTCATAAGGAAGACATAAAATTGTGTCAGACCTTGTAGGAGAGCATAAATTTGGGACATCACTTCTCTTGCAGTGGTCGACCTCATATAGTTGGGATATGACTTCTCTTGCAGGCCTGAGTAAATGAAAAGTATAATTTTTCAGCTATTATTTATTCTTTCTGATGCAAATTGTCTTGAGTTTTATCTGAGGAAACCCTTGAAAAGATTTCTGGAGATGAATTCCAGATCACTTGGAACCTGAGCATGCACACCCATTATATAACCATGGTATCTAGTGATTAGTGGTATTGTCCCTAAACAAGTCGACTGATTATGCCTAGTAAGTCACTTTGGTTGTAATTGTTCATAACTTGGAGAGAATGAGATCATCCTGAATATCTCCTCCTAGTTGCACTGCAACATGGTGTGAATAAACAACATCATCATCATTTAAGACCCCAACTCTTTGGGGTTGCTACATGAAACCTGTTCTGCCATTCCTTTCTGTTCAATGTCATATCCATTGTTAAATTATGTGCCCTTAAATCATTTCTATCTACATCAACTCATATCCTTTTTGGTCTGCCCCTAGCTCTTCTAGACTCTTCAACTTGTAACCGATCACTTTTTACTAGTGCTTTAGGTGGCCTTCTCTGCATGTGCCCAAACCATCCAGTTTACTTTCCTCATTTTATCACATATTGGAGCTACTCCTAGGTAGGTTCCTTTGAATAAGTTCATTTCTGATCCTATCCTTTCTAGTTTTCCCACTTATCCATCTCAACATTCACATTTCTGCCACACTTTTGTACATGTTTCTTTTATAAAAACTTTCTTATGGCCATTTAAAAAAAAAAAAAAAAGACTGAGAGAGTTTGATCTGGGCTTCACCTGGGATATGGATTTTACTTGTAAGATTCCAGAATCCCATGACTACAAGAACTTTCTTTCTAGTTGGAGCCTATTCCTTGGGACTTAAGCCATGACTTTGGATATTTTCTTTTTTGATGAGTTGGAACATCCCAGAATAGGGTTACCATGGTAATTGGCTCCTCTCTATGGTCTAATTTGTGCCAAGGGAGCCTGCTCTTCAGGCATCTTTTGATGTTTCATAGACTTACTTCGTAATAGAGCTACTTCAGTAGTGTTTCTATTTGCTGTTATTAATATCTCTGATTTACCATACAGAAATTAACGGATGAAACTAAGTGATGCCTCATGTCTCTAAGATAAATAGATATGCTGCTTCACAATCCTGCTGTTTGCTTTTTGAAATAGGGCTACTTCAATAGTATTACTATTTGCTTTGGCTGATATCTTCTATTGATGATATGAAAATTAGGAATGAAGCTCTTCATATCATCACTAGGCAATTCATCGGTTTTGAATCTCTATTGTAGTCTGAGTTTTATGAGTGTTATTGCTTAGATAAATATAATGACATTATCTGGATTAAGTGAGATATTAGTCTTTGTTACAGATACTTTTGGGATGTTCTTATTGATCTTTTATCTCGTCTTTCATTTTTGGAGCTTGACTCCCCACAGACAGTTTAAACTCACCAAACCCTCTGTATTCTGGTTCTTTAAATCTTTCATAACCATTCCTCGATATTTCAAAGTTTTACCGACTTTTTTCATGGGTGCAGGTGTTTTTCCCAGAATCAACATTAGGGATCCCATACAAGCGCCTTGGAATCAGCAGGGAGGCTTCTGAAGATGAAATCTAAGCTGCAAGGAACATTTTGATAAATAAATATGAAAGACATAAGCCTAGTATTGATGCAATGAATCAGCACATGACAAGATAATCATGCAAAGGTTTTATGAAAGGAAGAACCCCAAAATCAACATCAAGAAAAAGGTCAGGGAAGTAACTCAGTCACGTATTGCACAGGCTGTCACAAGTAGGCTTCAAACTCTCTCCATGACCTTCATCATCAAAACAGCCATTCCATTTGTAATACTTGGCGTGCTCACTGTTCTATTTCCAACAGAAGGACCAATGCTTCAGGTTTCCATCTCCCTGCTAGCCACCATATATTTAATATAAGATCGGTTTAGGAGCTGGATGCAAGCTCTTCTCTTTGGTTATGTACTGTAATCTTTGTTTCGTTGGATAAATTAAGCAGATAATGATAGCAATCCCATATACCATTGTCTTTCATATTCTTATGCTGGTGTGCCTTGACATTCATCAGGGTTGGGGCTTTCATCAACTCCTGGCTGTTGGAGACCTTCTTGATGGTGTCTGTGATTCCACCTATACTTCACGGGCCAAAGAGTTTAGAAGTGACAGCTTCTCTTAGAAGCTACATCTTTTTTTTGGGTTTTCTCCACTTATCTGAAGTAGCCCTGGTTCTGTTACGAAAATTTTGGTTTAGGTGTTTCATCAGCATTACAGGATCTCTTGCATTGCAGAGCTGGTCATTTTCCGTTTGTGGCTTCACTTTTTTGTGTATTTGTCATTCGATTGAAACTTGAAATAAGCAAGAAAGAGTTTTTATTCATCTTCTTCCTAAAGCTAGAGAATCTTTTGTGAATTACATGGAATTTTAGAAAAAAAATTTAAATAAAAGAAACCACAGAGTTTACATTCATCGCAACTTACTGTATGCCATAAGTTCATTCAATCTGGATTGGAGTTGCCTTTATTGGTCGTGGAATAGTTATGAAGTCATAATTTGAAAGAGAATAAAGTTGAAGGCTGTGTTTGGTTGCATCTATAAAAAAAAAGGCTCTGTTTGGTTGCAATGCAAATAAATTTGCACTGATGCAAAACCATGTCAGTGCAAATGGTCTGAATGTAAATTCTGATCTATTTTTGTTTCAAATTTTAGTTTATTTTGTTTCAAATAAATTAAACAAGAACTTGCATTTTTTTACATTTGCACTCCCATGCATTTGTATTAATGCAAATAAAATTGCACAGCAACCAAACACAGCCAAAGGAAAAAAAGGGGACCAATCCAAGGTTCAAAGTATCGACACGTATCCGCCTGTATTGGCCGATACGTATTGTTCTGGGGCCCCACCAGTACGCCCTTACAGTGGGTGTATCAGAGGTCTGGCCGGTTCAGGGGGTAGAGGAGACCTAAACCGGCCCCCCTGAACCAGTTGTGAAAAAAAAAATGTAATAAAAATATGTATTGATTCCCCTGATACGCCCCTACCGGCGTATTGGGCATATCAATATTTTGAACCTTGGACCAATCGGAATGCTCGTATGAATTCATGAACAATTCTGGGAGGTTATTTACTGCATTATCTTCAAAACATCCATACAAAATGCTGGCGCTTCTGGGTGTCTAAAAGCTTCAAAGTTGCTCAATTGGTTGAATTGTATTTACATCTCTTAAGGAACCGTTCAACCTAAAAAGCTTAAGTGGTTAGGTGAGCTCTCTGAATAGGTTTGTATTCTCTAATATGCCCCCTCATATGAAAGCCTATCGGACTAAAGTGTGGAAATTCTCTAATATGCCCCCTCGTATGAAAGTCTATCGGACTTAAAGTGTGAAAAACATAGGCCCATTCCATATCTTGTACTGAAATTTAATTAATTATAATGGGGTGATGAAGATCAAACATTAGACCACTTGGTCAAACAGACTCTGATATCATCTTATAAATTGAAAATTGGCCTAATTGGGCCCATTCAAGTAAGAAATCACAAACAATTACGTCTGATATTTTTTCCCAAAATAGACAAATAACATCCCCTCAAGTAAATGACCCAGAAAAGGGAGAAGTTTTTTTACCAGTAACCGGTCGTTAACAAAGCATAAAAATGGCCATCCAACGAAGAAAACAGTTGGTTGTTGGAACCTTAAAATGTTCCAAGCATCAAAGTTCAAACACCTCTCAACATTTGTCATCTCACTTGGCAATTTGATTTGATACACGAGGCTTCCTACCCGTATACATTCTTATTGACGAGATCACACCATTTTGATAGCTCTAACAATCTCAAGCCATTAAGGCCGAATTCCTTGGTCGGGTGGTTAAGAGGGGGCCTAATCAAGTGAAGTGGTCTAGATCAGTGCTTTTAGCTTTTGGTGCTCGTTAAGTTTACGTCTCACCTCTCTCATACTTAGGATTGGAATATCGACATATACTTCTGCCTTACGGGCCCCATCAAGAGAGAAACTGGATTCAGTCAGTGCAATTCTCCTTGGAACAACCATTATACTCTTGCATTGGGAATATTTCTCCATGAAAGTTCCAACCATTATACTCTTGCATTGAGAATATTTCTCCTGTAAGGCTGTAAAGTTGTTTGAATGGTATTTAAACAGGACTTGCACTGACTGAAGCACATAAGATCATTTTGTTTGGACCAAAATGATGATGCACCAACACTTGCTGCCTCACGTGCATAAGGGACGTGGCATTCTTTCTACCGTCCACTTGGTAATAACGATTTTATTGGACTTGGTGAAAAATGCCAAGAGGAAGAAAAAGAAAGTAGAAATCAAATAACAATAATAAACAAAGAAAAAACAAAAGGAAAGAAGAAAGATCACAACCTCACATTTTATTTGAAACGGGTCTCCCAAAATTCTCCACTTTGGACTGTATAGGGTGAGTGCCATTTATAAATTTGTCTGTTTTGTTCGTGCGACATCATGTCAGAGAAGGAAGAAAAATATGGAAGATTTTTCACAAAATTTTCTTATATTTTTCTGGTTTTACTAGTTTAACAAAAACCCACCATTAATTAAATTATCGGTCATTCTTTTATTCAAGGTAGACAAACGCCACTGCATGGCAACCAAGTTCATAGCGTGCCACATAAACAGGTTATCGCTCCAAGTGGCAAGCTCTGGTTGGTCGATGTATTACAGCCTCAAATGAGACATCCCTGGGATACTGTGTGGAACTATAAATACAGTGAACGAGAGCAAGCTCGATACGTGCTGCCTGCCGAGAGAGAGAGAGAGAAACCCACAGACACAGCAAGAGATAGGGAAAGAAAGGCCGTGACTCGCGAGACAGATAAGAGAAGAGAGGTACTGGTCTGTAGTTGTCTCAACCCTCAAGAGAGAAAAAGCAAGAAACAAATGGCATCGGCATCTCTCCTCAAGTCGTCTCCGGTCCTCGACAAATCTGAGTGGGTGAAGGGCCAGACCCTCCGCCAGCCTTCGACCAGCTCGGTCGTCCGCTGCCACCCGGTCTCTCAGTCTGCTCTTACCATCCGTGCCGGTTCATACGCCGATGAGCTTGTCAAGACTGCGGTATGTGTATATATATATATTCCTGTCTTATTAGTTAATGATTGGAAACACTCTCGGTTTACTAAATTAATAAACATAAATCCATCAAACTCAACTCTTATATCACAAACGAAATTTGTTGAATGTGGGGATGCAGAAAACTATTGCATCTCCTGGCCGTGGAATCTTGGCCATGGACGAGTCAAACGCCACCTGCGGGAAGCGTCTTGCCTCCATCGGCCTGGAGAACACTGAGGCCAACCGGCAGGCATACAGGACGCTCCTAGTCACCGCTCCTGGCCTTGGAAACTACATCTCCGGTGCTATCCTCTTCGAGGAGACACTCTACCAGTCAACAATCGATGGCAGGAAGATGGTCGACGTACTCGTCGAGCAGAACATCGTCCCGGGTATCAAGGTCGACAAGGTAAGAGATCTTCTTATCCCTTCTCTAGTATACGAACCTTCTAATTCCAACAAGTGACAACATCTTACTGAAACCCGAGTTGAATCGTGAGTGTACAACAGGGTCTGGTTCCCCTGGCTGGTTCCAACGACGAGTCATGGTGCCAGGGTCTTGATGGCCTCGCCTCCCGCTCAGCCGCTTACTACCAGCAGGGAGCTCGTTTCGCCAAATGGTACTAATTAATTCCATCTTATATAACAATCAACACCACCTCCAATATTATAACTCTTCCTTTTTGATCGATATCTGTTGTGAAATCTGTGGTTGCTCCCTCCAATAGGCGTACCGTTGTGAGCATTCCCAACGGCCCATCGGCACTGGCAGTGAAGGAAGCAGCCTGGGGTCTCGCTCGCTATGCTGCTATCTCTCAGGTACAGAATCTAGAATAAGAATTAATCACTAATGGTTGTCTTTGCTTTCAGCCTATGAAACGTCGTCGTCGTCTCTTACTCTTTTCAGGACAACGGGTTGGTCCCGATTGTGGAGCCGGAGATCTTGCTCGACGGTGACCACGGGATTGAGAGGACCTTCGAGGTTGCCAAAAAGGTCTGGGCTGAGGTGTTCTTCTACCTTGCCGAGAACAATGTCATGTTCGAGGGTATACTCCTCAAGCCCAGCATGGTTACTCCTGGTGCTGAGTGCAAGGACAAGGCTACACCTCAACAGGTCGCCGAGTACACTCTCAGTCTCCTCCGCCAGAGAATTCCTCCGGCTGTCCCCGGAATCATGGCAAGTGTCACTTATAAATAAGACTATATGATCTTTTTATTAGTTATATTACACAGTTTGTGGAAAAAATTACAATCTTGTACTCATTTGTTAAATATGGGAGAGCAGTTTTTGTCTGGTGGGCAATCCGAAGTGGAGGCAACCCTGAACCTGAACGCAATGAACCAAGCCCCAAACCCATGGCACGTCTCATTCTCATATGCAAGAGCCCTGCAGAACACTTGCCTGAAGACGTGGGGAGGAAGGCCGGAGAATGTGAAGGCAGCCCAGGATGTTCTGCTTGTCCGGGCCAAGGCCAACTCTCTCGCTCAGCTCGGCAAGTACACCGGTGAAGGGGAGTCAGATGAGGCCAAGCAAGGAATGTTCGTCAAGGGCTACACTTACTAGAACGTACCATGTACCAATCTGTGGACGAAGAAGATGATGAAGCTTAAGCACCTCTCTCTCTCTCTCTCTCTCTCTCTCTCTCTTTTATGCTTATAGCCATGAAGACTATTTTTGTTCATTACATGTAATGTTAGCGACTTAATAATAAGTTTAGTTTCAGCTGGTTAATGAGATGAGATTAGAAGGTACACAATTGTTTATGGTATATTTCTTGTGGATATATTTGGATTTTGGCAGCATGAACCACTTCTTCCTATTCCCACCTACACGGCTTCACGGCTTCACCTATGATGATATGATTGCATGCTCATTCGCTCCGCCTGGTTTTCTGTTTGAGATTGGCCATCCGAGTAGAAAGTTTCATTGTTCGTTCTGTGTTCACCTATAGCTTGTAGCTAAGATTGACTAAAACTATGCTTGAATCAAAATGGGGGTAACCTAGTTTATTCATTTCTTTCAATCGGATCAGCTGCAAGGATACAGGAAACCTGTCCTTGCAGTATGATCACACCCACTGCAGATTAGTAATACAAACGTGTAAAATCGGGTAAATGGGGTCATTGATTCTGCCAGGTTTCTTGTTTGTAACGGGAGCCCCACTACAGATAACAGAAAATTGAACACGCATCAAAGAACGATATCTGGCAGTAGTTTATAACTGTTACGTTTTGGGAGGAGGGCAGGGTTAGCTAATAACTTACCCAAGACACGAGAAGTAAAACAGGGGGAAAAGGAGGAAAAAACAGCCTAGCCTAATAAGGTCATCTAAAGCACAGGGTTTCAATACTGCATTTTACATCAGAAAACTCCTTTTTATACGAATCCCTCTTTGTTCAAAACACGCATGTAGCCACTACTTGACCACACTAATCAGAAATGCTGATCGCCATGCTCAACCATCCAACATAGCTCCCATAGCTATTACCCCTGTTTTGCACTGATATAAATTCAAACTGCTTTTATGGTGCCGAATACCACCCTAAAAGACGGTTCCGTGTACTTCCACTGTTTACTATTATTTGTGCAAATATGCAATCACTTGGGCTGTGTTCTATTTAAAGGAAAAAGTAGGGAAAGAAAGAGAAATATAGGTAAACCTTTACATACCTTGTATAGGTTTCCCTACCTTTTCCTTCAAACCAAACATAGCATTAGAGTAGAGTCATTATAACTGGATCTATAAATGTGTCGTATATATAACTGCTATGTCATGCTTAGATGGACAAACCATTTTACCTGATTGAAGAAAAACAGTTGTGTTAAAAAATAACCAGTATGCAACATTGCTTGTTTCGTAATACACTCTTGAATCAGATGAAACACAAACACAACCACGAACCAAATTCACCCTAACCTCTCCAACACTCTAATAATGAATGCTAAGTGCAACTTTACGGTTCAGACTTGATGTCATGGTTTAGATTTATAATTTAACCAAGAAACCCTGTAATGAAACATGAGAGACCAACTTAAATTTTATCATACAGTGAAGTAAACCGTATTACGGCTGCCATTTTCTCAGTAATTTTCATGGTAGGAAGGCTTATATATATACCAATGACAAGGGTACAAGCCACAAGGTTTCCTGGTATTCTCATTTATCTAACGAGGATTCATGAATACAAACATAGGTGAGCCCGGATCTCCTGCGAGCAAAAACTATAGCATCCAGTCGCACATTGGCGTTGGGAATGTCTCCCATATATGTATGTCAAATTCCTAGGGAGATGTTCCCAATGTGATTATGTGAGTCTAGACTCCCATGCTTTCGATGCGTGCAGAGTTTTGGCTTGCAATGAATCCCGTCTCCACATAGGCAATTGATATGTATTCCTTCACATGTATCCTTACCCAAAGATATGATAAACATATTTGTTTGGCCATTACTTTTTAGAGCGAGAACCGGTCCTGACCCAATTATTAGTTGGGGCACATACCACAGAAGTCAGGTAGACCCAACCCATTGACAGCTCTAATTACTTTCCATATATGATGTGAGACAGGGCTACCAAAATTGACATCTTGTGTCACCCCTTCCTTATTCTTCTTGGAATTTATATTTACTCTGCACGTGCCTATCTAAATAAAATTAGAAAATTGGTATCTAAGTATATAGTTTAGACTTCAGAAGGTAATCTACAAAAACATGCATCACTTGAATGCTATTGAATATTGAAATGCTTGCTTTATTGATCATAAGAGGAAGGCTTTTTTTCGAACAAGAGGAAGGCTCTGTTATTTCTACATCAAGAACCTTTACACAAGGCTTCAGATGGGAAAGGCATTCCAAGCAGAGATCAAGGCTCCGTTTGTTTCAACATAAAATGATTACAAAATTTTTCAGGCTGAAATATTTGATCTATATTTTGCCCCTATCACGAAGAAAACTTTGCTTTCCTTGCACTTGCATCAAAACAAATAAGGGGTGGAAAGCTAAAATTTATGCTGTAAAGGGGGGCAGAAATAATAGCTGAATTATTTCAGTAGGAGAAATTTTGCATCCATTTTACAGAAACAAACACAGCACAAGTAAAAAGAGGATCTATAAAGATAATTTCTATTTACAATATAATCACGATTAGTGTACATACGAAGATGAATTATAAGGATTTATCTGCTGATAACTAGTAAGAAAAGGTCGGTTTAAGAGCCAGAGCTTCCACATTCCTCCATGGATGAATCAGATAAAAGTTCTACCTGTGTCTTGGCACTCAGAGAGCCACAAGTCCATGTTATCTATTATCTGTTGTCTAACTTTGTGCACTGCATCAGGAGAGGCACAATTTTGGGCATTACCTACAAAGAACCAGATCCAGAAATGTAAAACATCATACCTATTTCAGATAATTGACGAGAGAATAAACTGCCATTTACCATCCATGAAAAATCTAGTATTGTGCCACCCAGGACTCCGGATCTCCTGCCCACGTCTACCCACAACACACTACCTCCATGCATTGGGAACATCTCCCGGTACATAATACTACGTAGGAGGATGAGATGTTCCCCATGTGTGGCTGCCATGTTATGTGGGTAGACGCGGGCAGAATTCTTGTGGGCAGGAGATCCGGACTCGCCCAGAAGAGCCAACTCCAGTACAACATAGTAGAAAAACATAGCACCTTCTAGTAGTCCAAATGGTCTAACAAGGTCATAAATGCAATAAGTGGTTTGACATAGATGTTCCTCTTTACTGTGTGCCCCCAACTAAGGCTGTCAATTGGACTGGATTTGGTCCAATCCGATCCAGTCCAATGTGAGTCCATTACAAATGGACCAGGTCCAATCCAATCCAATGAATATTTTGGACCGGTCCAATTCAATGTTTGGACTATCCAATCTATTCAAATTTGTTTTAATTTAGATTAATTCTATCAATGGACCAGATATTGGCTGAATCCAACCCAATTCAATATAAATTCATTATGGATGGACCAGGTCCAATCCAATCCAATAAATACTTTGGACCATTAAGTCTGGACTGGTCCAATTCAATATGTATTGTTGGTCCCATCCAAATTGATTTTGGTTTGGATGGGATCCAATCCAAAACTGGTCAGTTGACACCCACACCCCCACCTTAAGAGAGATTCTGGACTACCAATATTGGCTTCACTCCCTTGCATGTCTCATCTGCTTCATGTACTGATGATGACATTTCTAGATTATCCTCTAGTATACCATGTGGGGCATTAGATTTCCCAATTTGGATAGAATAGCTTTCAAGCTTCTTATTCTTTAGGGGTGTCAAATTAAGGCCTCATATGTAATAGTAAAATTAGACATGAATGTGAGCCATACCTTCAGGACTTAGTGGCGATTGTGGACATCCTCTCAGATCAGTTCCATGGCCACAATTATGACATGAAATTATGTATGAAGGCACTAGACATTTTTAAAATAGAGTTTTAGTAATAAAACAAGGATAGAAACCAAACTAAAGCAAAATCTAAATTAGACTAATCTTTATCATATAAAACATAAACTCTTTTGCAAATGAACAGAATAACACTATGCTCAATCATTTAAGTTCAATAGATTTGATTTGTTGTGTAGCTATTACATGAATGACCATGAATTTCTCTTATTCTTTTTATTTTATCAATAACACACTTCATTAATTTCATTAAAACTTTTCAATGATAATTACAAAGAGGAAGACAAACTTTCTTATTTTCCAGCTATACCTTGAGCCCCAAAAGAAGGAAAAAAAGAAAGATAAGAAGAAACAAAAAAATAATTACAATTGTGCCCAAAACATTGACTCCCTCTCCACCCCTTGTTTAGCTAACCCATCAGCAAAAGAATTAGCTGATCTTTTAACCCAGCTAATTTTAACCCCCATTCCTCGAGCCAACCATCTAAATTTCCTCCTCATATTGTTGTAATTCCATAAGCCGCTATAGTCTTTATTTAACCACCCAACCACCACCTCCGAGTCCCCTTCAATTACAAGTTTTCTGATATTCATCTCCCTGGCTTTCTGGATTCACTTCATTGGGCCTGAGAACATGGTAGAAACAACCCCATTTTCATCCCTGAAGACACCCCCAACCCCCGATTGTCTAGGATTCCCTTTGCACCTCCCATCAAAGTTTAGTATTATGAAACCAACAGGGGGGGAGTCCACGACACATTCATCACTGTTTTGGTCTGGGTACTGCTAGCAATCGCACCCCAGTTCCTCAACAGGTCATCCACTGTATAATTTGTGAATAGCTCTAATGATTTCATCCACTGTACCACCCTTATAAGGATCAAAGCCCTCAACTCATCAACGCTTTTCTCAACTTGTGAGAAAATCCTAGCATTTCATTCTTCCGATAAGGACCAGCAAACTGCAGCCCTCAGATCTCTCCACATAATCTTGCCCCTTTTCATGTGCCACATGAAAAAAGGAGAAAACAGATTTTGCATGTTTGATGGAGGGTTCCAACTACACCCAAATAGGGAAAAAGCCCATTCCCAAATAGACATTGCATATTGGCAAGACACCAGTAGGTGAAAACCTGTCTCCCCATCAGCTTTACAAAGAACACACCAATGAGGGGGCAAACAAGTATTGGATCTCTTCTTTTGGAGCAGATCACCAGTGTTGAATCTTTCCAGAAAGGCTTTCCAGCAAAAACTACCAACCCTAGGAGTGATTGGTCTGCACCAAACCTCATGAATAGGAAAAGGGATGAATTTCTCTTATTCTTAAAGCCTCCATTGGTAATTGACACAAGTATAGATCTACACTAGCTAGGATATAATTCATAAAGGTGATAAATGCACAATAGAATAATGTGATATTGAGAGAGCTAAAAAATGGAAACCAAAAGGGCAGATGGACCAGATCTACAGTTTAAGGTGATTGCAACAGTTAAAAAAAAAATACGTCAAGTGCACCATACCTACTATGACTAGTAATGAAAATGGTCTTAGTCAACCTTGTAATGTTGGCCCATCTAAATTGACTCTTAATCAGTCAGGCCAGGATAGGTTGATAAGTTAGAAGTTAGAACTCTTTTTCTTTATTATTAGCAAAGTTGGAACTCATTTCTGTCAGTAAAATTCATATGGTTAGATCAGCTTCTTCCAGATCATGAAAAAGCCTCCTGGTTTCTATTTCTATATATGATATTCAATGCCACCATATTAAATCAAATTTCCTCAACAAATTTGAAACTCACTTTCACTATCTGGTGATGGTGTCTGTTTGGATGCATGTCGCCAGGGATCCTGTGAGCCATTTGTGAAAATAATCTTTGAACCTGTGAATTTGTGCAAAAGAAAACATCTTAAAACAAGTGATGTATGAATGAAAGATAATTAAGGACGATTTTCTTCAAATCACGACAAACCCCACATTCATAACTAGAAATTTTACTAGCAAACTTTCATCCCCATCCACGTATATCAACAAATATATAAAAGCAATGGCGATTAAAAAAATTGGCTAGATACAAAAGTCTGAATATAATGTGGGATAAACTTTTTTTTGGCCCAATGATGCATGGGATAAATTAATCTTCAATATAGCAGAAGTTCGATGATAGCATTTAACAGTACCAATTGCCTATTTTCGAAAATGAACATGGGGAAACAGACTTCTTGAAACAGAACTAACAAGGGCATCGCCACTATTTGATTATAAATACAACAATAAATGATTAATTTAAAACATTTCATACACAATAGCGGGATGTTAATGGTGTATATTAAATAATAGTATGGCACTAGGATATTAAGATGACTTCATGTCTCAGCCACCAAAATGTTAAAAAAATAGCAATTTCCACTATTTTTGGCATAGCTTCCATGCCACCACAAAGAAGTTTCATCCTTCAAAGAACAACACATCTACCTCCACTGATTGTAAATTTGGATCCATGTAACCACCCCCAAGTGATGTAAATTCACAAGGTAATGTTCACATTTGGTCAGACAAGTGATGTTTGGAAAATCCCTCTCTACATACATCATAAAGATTTTCATAGCATGGATATGGTACAATCAGAAACCATAATTTAACAATTATATAACAAAAAAAAATGATACCAATCTATGCCAGCTAACTTGAGAACAAAAGACAGGTGGATAAATGTGGAACCAGAGAAGCTAAAGGGGTTAAAATGTGTACCAGCAATATCTGTGCCTCCATAGTATATGTTTGTCATGTCCACATCTGGAAAGATGCCTTCTCCAAAAACATTCTTGCAAAGATCTAAGTGATATCTACAAAATATGAACAAAATTTGCATGTTAGGATATGTATCAAATATTAGCAAAATCAAATTCTATATATGGTGAATTGTTGTTTCTTAACATTTTAATGACATAGGGAAAAAAAATAAAGTAGAATTGTTCTTCTAAGGAAATACTAAATAATTGCAGTATTCCCTCTTTACATGTTGCTTATTTGAAATCATGAAAAATAAGCTAATATGGCAGTAGAGGACTCAAAATAAGCTAAGAGTTTACCAAAAAATGAGCTAAGCAAATATTTACCTTTCATCTACCTTTGAAGAGCGAATGCTATCATTTGAGGGTGCTACCTGGAAATAAGCAACCTCAGTGCAAACCTGAAACCACCACAATCGATCACTACTGCCTTCACTGAGTGCAGTATTCTTCAAGTATTTCTGATTGTATGTTTGAACATCAGCTCCGAATTTTCCAATGAAATAATCTTTCACATAGTTGGCATATTCATCCTGTATAAAAAGTTAATAAAGTTTAAATACCACTAGAAGCATAACACTAGTTTCTTAGGGAAAAGATCAGAAGAAGAGTAAAAAGCCTACTGATTTTGTAAATAAATGAACAAAAACAAAATGCAACAGCTCAATAATCTTATGGACAGATATTGCGCACATCCTAGGTTTGATAATAATGCCCATTTTATATTATAAAATAGGCTTGGATAGAGGGGAAATATAAAAGGAATATCTATAACAAATCTTGTTCACCGGAATTTAATAGCTAGATTGGTGGATAATAGATTATAGCACCAGATTCCCATGGAAGCTTCACCATATCTATTGAAATTTATTGAAAAAGAAGAGCACCTAATTCTTGTGATAAATCTATTCTTAAGTCCAACACTATAAATTTTTTACTCCCTCCTGAATTTTAAGAGTATAACAAAATGTTGGAAAGTTCATAATATTTTAACAGGGTAATCTTTACCACCCCTTGCACATAAAAACAATACAAAGAAAATCAGTGTTTTAAACCAAAAAAGTAGGAAAAGTAAATGCAATTTCACATAATTATATGATGTAAATATAGATTCATAATTTCACAATGGATATGACACTAAATAGAACAGAATGGCAAAACACAATTCATGTAGCTGACCCATACAGTTGGGATAAGGCTTAGATGATGATGATGATATGATGTAAACATAGATTTTTTTCCTTTTCTTTTCCTTTTATAGAGAAAATGTGTTTTTAACAGTAAAAGTTCATTTCATTAATTTCAATTAAAACATATTGCACAACATTGTTATTACGAATGAGCTCAGCCCCCATTATCAATTGAATGAACCCAATTACAAATCTGTGAAAAAGAGTTGTTCCCTGCACACCCCTTGGTTTAGCCAAATAATCAGCAATCCCATTCGCTGTACACTTTACCCGTCTAAAAGCTGCCCCCAACTCCTTTGCTAAATTGCTATGTTCTCGATCTCTCTTATAAGTTATAATGTGGTTGTGAGCCCACATGCTCGGGTTGCTGTCATTCTTTTATAGATAAAAGATGTTAACATGGAAAATATTGGATATTGGGTGGTAGCAACTTTCTACAAAGGACAAGACTTGGCTATACACATATAAGCCCATATGCATGTATTTTACATTTAAAGAGCAGAGCCCAATCATCTAGAATGGAACCACCCATAGGAAAGGCACAACTGATGCAACTTTGGAGATCCCAAGGACTGGGAACAAGGGGTAGAATTTTTCTGGAGAATATAATTTAGAAAGAAACAAAAAGGACCTTTCTGAATGAGTTTACATCACAAAAGATCCTCACGGAGAGTCATCTTCCTAGTGGCATCATGGATATTGGTTGAAATAGATTTCCATGAAATCAGGGACCCATCATTATGTCACAGAGTAATTTAATGAGGGACTGTTTCTGTCTAAAAGACTAAAACGTTTGATGGCAGATCATTGGGTAGCCTGGGCCTTTCAGGAATTGGTGGGGTAATAGAAGATAGAGATGGAAGCATAATCTGGCCTTTATTGGGGCCTATCTGGGAGGTGGATTTGGCAAAGGCTGAGTTGATGGGCTCTTCTATTTGACCCTTGGTATGCTGTCCTCAGCATCTCCCTTCCCTTCTTTGATTGAAGGCAATTCTACAAATGTCATTAGATAGAACAAGGGTTTGAAATAGCCTTTGGTGATTGTCCTTCATACAGAATAAGATAAGAATTTATTTTGAGATTTTGTAATCATGTTTTCAGATAAATTTCTAGGGATCAAGATGAGATTTCTGACAGGTTAGCTGGGTTATGGTTAACCAAGATGAAATGTATTGTGGCTTTCATTGACATGGAGCATGTACACTGAAAATTTTGTACAGTTTCAGATGGACTGACCTTTTGCTTTGATGTCCATCCTATACTCCTTTCTGCAAGGGCTTTCTCATCTCTTTAATATAATTTGGATCTGACTACTCAAGAATAAGAACAAGATAACAAATATAGCATTCTTTTTGGTGCTGTGGCTGAAAGGCATGTCTTGCCAGCATTAAAGCTGTCAATGGGCCGGGCAGACCAGAGCCAAACCCACCCAATTGTATTAGAATCCGGGTATGCATTAGTGTCCCAATTATAATTGGGTAACTATAATTGGATCAGGATAGTTTTGGTAGTTCCACACTGATTAAGACCCTGAACAATAATTATGTATATGCATATTGGCATATGCACTTAGGTAATAGGTGATAGGGTACCACCTTGCTATGCTTAAGTGGGCACCAAGGTGCCTACTAGGCACCAGTTAGGCAGTTTTTTCTTTTATTTTCCTTTCTTTTTTGGACAAGAAAAGACCTACAACTTATTGGGTATGAACCATGTTAATATGTCCCATATTTTCAATTTCTTATTGTTTTCTTCTGACAATTACTAAAAGAAAGCTAATTGTAATGAACATTGCATATAAAGCATGTAATATCATTTAATTTCACAAGGGACTATCACTGTTAATAATAAATTTAAATATTTCATACAAAATATAATCCAAGTCAGCAAAATAAAAAGGCCAATTTAAAATTATTGAATTTCATGTAACCAAAATCAAAACCATTAAGCTAAGTAACAGAAAATTGAATCCAATCAAGCAACAAACAACATAATACACACGCAGCATATACATATACGTGATTTACTTTTTTGATCTGTTGTAGTATACGATTTAATTTATCATAGAACACAAACAAAATACAACATTGTACACAATTATGATAAAGTTCTGTGAGGTGCCAACTGCCAACTGTCTATGCCAAAAAGACATGACAGGGGTGATCATTCTTAGCCCAGCCCGGAAACCTGCCCCAGCTCAGCCTGCAAATTTCTGGGTGTGAGCCCAGGTTTTTGTGCTTAGGCCCTGCGTGGACTGCAATGTATAATAAAATATTATATATACATGTTATATTTTATATACAAAAATTATAAATATTACACACAGCATATATTATTTTAACAAAAGCATTTTCTTTTGATTTCTTTTGAAGGGCTACACAACGGGGGGTAGCCCATCCCCCAACCAGGTGCAGGCAGGACTCGATCCCAACTCTCTGCTACGACCAGCAGGAGACCTTACCAACCAGCTGGTTGGCACTTTGCATTATTTTAACAAAAGCATGTATTTCACGTATACGGTATTTCACCACTCTTTGATTAAAACCCCCATCAGTCACATCACCATTGTGGAAGCCCCATGTTCTGGCCATGAAACACAATTACAGTGTCCTTTGAATTCCTCATTTTGACACTTCGCCAAAAGCACCACACTGAGACACAAGTCTCTCCTGCCAGATCCCTCCTCCATCTATTTTTCAGTTTTGCCACCGCATAAGCCCTCTCTGCAACAATGGGGAACTGAATGAACATAAAGAGAATTTAAGGGTTTGTTGGCGGAGGTGTAGATGTTGCAAGATTTGGAGCAGAAAGAAGGTTTGAAGGGGTTTCCAGAGAAGAAATCACAGGGAGAGTCGAAGTTCCAATCAGGGTCTTGGAGGGAATGTAGTGGTGGAGGAGATAGGAAGCTAGGGAGAGATAGCCATGAAGAGGGATGGGAGGAGGGGAGAGTTTGGGTTAGGGTTAGGATTTAGGGTTAGAAAAAACAAGAAAAGGAGATAGCAGAGCAGGTGATGGTAGATAAAAGTTGTTGAAGTCTTCATGGAATAACCCTCAAGGTGGAGGAATCTCTGTTGTTTCATCTTCCATCTTCGTCAATCCCTGAAGATCCTTCTGTCTCCATTCTCTTCTTGAGGCAAACCAGTGAAATGAATGCAGAGCATTTTCAATTTTTTTTATCAGCAACACAAGAAAAATTTATTATTAATTATAAAAAGGAGTACAATAAGGAGTTGTGGGCAAAGATTAAGCCCAAAACCACTTTCGATATTTACAAAACAGCCCAAAACACGGACCGTCTCTGAATTCCACATTTAGCTAGCCCATCTGACACACTGTTTGCAGATCTTCTAATCCACTTCACTTGGATTATCATATCTTTAGAAACCTGCTTGAAACGCCTGAATTCATTCTTTAACTGCCATATTACTCCTTCCCCCTTTTTCATCCAGTCCACAACAATTTTGGAATCACCTTCAATAATCAATCTGTTGATCCCTAACCACCCTATACACAGCTGCCAACAGTTCTGATCTCACCACATCTCCATGCTGAATAGGTCCCGAAAACATAGCTACAATATTTCCACTTTCCTCCCTGATGACCCCACCAATACCCAAAGGTCCAGGATTTTGCCCATGCAGCTGCCATCAAAATTTAATTTCTTCCATCCAGCACATGGAGGTGACCAAACCTCAGTTATTTTTTGCCTTCTAGATGATGAGTGAGCAATTGATCCCCACGAGCTAAAAAATTCAACTTTAAAGACTGCAAAAAGCCTTAAGGTTTTCACCCAATGTGCCACCCTTAAGATCATAATGCCTAGCACAGCTTCCTTGTTCCTTTCTTTGTCTTCAAAGATTCTTAAGTTCCTTTCTTCCCAAATTGTCCATATCACTGCTGCTCTAGTGCATCTCCCCAAAGTCCTGCCTCTTCTTTTAGAGCAACTAAAAAGATTTAGAGTTAAATAATCCTTCCAAATTATCAGGAGAGAGCCACCTGCAACCAAAAAGAGACGAAAAAACTCCCAAATAGAGATAGCAAAAGGACAGGAGATTAGAAGATGAAAAAGCAGTCTCACCATGCAACTTACATAAGGAGCACCAGTTTGGTCTATTTCTCTGGAGCATATCACATGTATTAATAGAACCGTGGAACACTTCCCAACAAAGAGCATTGACCTTTGGAGGAATAGGCTGAGACCACACTTCCTTAATAGGGAAAGACTGAGACTGGGAGGTAGCAACATGAGAGTTTAAAAAGGATTTGCAAGAATAAGCACCAGAATGATTAAGTGCCCACACTCTGGAATCTGAACCACCATCCCCTAAGATCACTGAATTCAA